TTCGTGATAAGCATGAGACCGTTTCAACGCAAAACATGATGCACATAGAGCTATAGGTGCTCAAATGCCACTGCGTCATTACATGCACAGGTGCCGACATTGATCGAGGAGATGATGTCAGATAATGGAGTCTAATCTTGTAGGAGAGAGCCGCCTCTCACCAACTCCTACAAGCCGATGATGCACCTATGAGGAAAAATCCTGTTGCACTCAGTATCTGCCTATTATTTTTGGTGAGGTTGCTTCAACCGCCGCTAAGTCAAATCAGTCTTAAAGCTAACACGGAAACGATGTTCTTGAAAACTGTTCTCTGCCACCTCATTGGTAGCCTATCACGGTGATCATCAAAGGACTATCATGGAGGCAAAACCATCATCGAAGAAACCCGCTTCGCCATTGTTCACTGCATCGTGATATTCAATAGCCAGTTGGCGCTCGAAGTTCTACCACTAGAGCGATGGGTTAGATTTGGAAGATCTTTTTTGAATGTGTACAGCGAGTCAAATCGAATTTCTTCTCTGGACTCCGTTTCAGTTTCGATCACCGTGCTTTCATCAGCACTGTCACTTTAGCCTCGCTGTGTGCCAGTACTGATGTACTGCAACAGATCATGCGTCAGTAACGTCAGTAGCAAAAATGCATTCATTTACATACATGATGGCAATGAAGTTGAGTGCTTTAATTCATGGAACGTCACGGAGGTCTTGAGGATACGCAAATTTTCAGGCAACGCCGTTGGAGTCGTGGAACTTGGCCCTAAAGAAGCAGCAGCGATCGAAGCCCAGACATTCTTCAAAACCCCGCACACGATTCAACTCAAATATCTGGTTCATTTTCCGGACGTCCAACTGTCGGTCTGTTGCGATCAGTATCCAAAAATGTGCTATTTTCGGTCAAATCCTAATTTTGACTACAAATCAGTAATGTGGAAGACCGGCATTATAACGTGTCCTTCTAACACAACAAAGGTTACGGTTCACTAGGCATGCTACAGTTTCTAGTATAACTTGTGCACTTTTCAGATTACTATCAGAGCTGAAAACTACGGCACCATGACGGCGGCGGTGTACATTGACGATATAGACTTGGTAGAGGAGTCGAACGATCCTGATGAACCTTATGTCTCGTACTGTGTACCAAATGTCCAGCGGTTCTGAAATGACCGAGACAAATTTTAATGTAAACATATTTCGCAACATAATGGTGTAGATAGCCATATGCATGTCAGTGTTTTCTGTATAATCACTAAATTGTTTGGAACTATATAGGCGACTGTGCAAATCAGTACTTTTTTAGTAAATGCACTTACTATAACTACTCTTCGTTTTCTACGAACTGTATTACCCTATAAACCTTACGAACGGTGTGCTTCAGAGAGTTGAGAAGAACTTCTATGAGTCTGGCTGAGTACATCTTGAAATGCAAAAACAGTGAGATTGAGAGTGATGGAAGATTTGCAGTACAGCAGGCAGCTGAACAGAGAACAATTGCCAAAAGGTTCACACACCTCAGCCCTTATGTCAGAATATTACCAGCTTTAAAAATGACATTGCAGAATGAATAGCAAGGCACAAGGCAGAGGAAGATGTGTGCAGGAGTTCTTATAACAGTCTTTTCGGCTCAAGGTTTACCACTGCTGAGATCATAAACCAAAAATGACGCGTGACGTGATGAAATTTAATCAAGTGCAGTCAAATGCATCTCAGCCTTAGATGAACTGTTAGAAAATTCAGTCAACACCCTCAGACGAGGGAAGGTGGTATTTTAAACAGTTTCGTCGCAAAATCGTTTACCACACATCTCCAACAAAGCGAAACGCCAACTGAGACAGGAAATCCTCAGCAACAGTGCTGCTCTACAAGAAGGTTGATTAAGAAAACCGAAAAATTAGATCCATATGCTTGTTTTTTCATGTGTATAATTCATTCATGAAGAATCTGTTAAATCCTCTAGCAGAAAATTCAAAGAGGGTCCGATGTTCGAGCAAACTGGATTTCACGGAAAGTTTTCGACGCTCGAACCTCTCCAAGTATGTAATCAGCTGACGAAAATCATTTACGAGTACAAATTTTTGGTGTGCAAGATATTATCGACTAAGAAATGGCATTTTGTGTCGTGAGTCAATCTTCTGAGCGCTGGAAGAGCATGGAAGAGAAGATTACATCCTTGTTTCACCATCCAGCTGTTTGAAGATCCAGTTGAAACGACGGTTTCTGATTGAGTTCGTCAAGGAGGAGGCACCATGTCCCCAAGCCGTTTACCGCATGTCTGGAGTTAGTATTGCGCAAAGTAAAATGTGATGGAGGATTTTCCGTCAACGACAGATGGTTCACTCATCTCATTGAATTGCTGACGTCAACATGGTGTTGGAGAGGAAGGCGAAAAAAGTTGAATCCTTACCATGTGAGTTAGAGTTAAACAGCAAGCATGCTGGGCTTTGGACAAATAGAGCAAAGACAAAAATAATGAGAAACGAATTTAAACAACCAGCCATAATTAATATCAATAATTATCAACTAGAAGAAGTCATTGAGTATGTCTGCTTGAGAGAATTATTCGTCTCAGACCTCAACTTCAGGTCGTGCGGCGTGTACTGCATACAGAGAATGTCGGCACTCGTAGAAACGAAAAGTACGCACCATATTGTCAACTGCCCTATATTATTGCAAAACTCTAAAATTAACGGAGAAAAGCTGAAGAACTACTAAGAATGCAGCAACAGGCTTTGGAAGGAAGAATGTTAGGCATTTCGATAGGTACAAGTTGCGAAATGACAAAATGTATGGTAAGAAATGGCACTGTAATGCGGAAGGTAGTATCAGTTTACAAGAAAGAAAACGACAATGGCCAGGTCACACCACACGAATGACAAATAATCGATGGACTTCGGTGGTGACGGATTGGTACCCAAATATAACACCTCGGTTCACATGCGACGATCAGCAAAAAGAAAGATATAGAAAGTTGTGGCAACCAATCGTACGAGATAGGCAAGCGGGGGCATCGAGATCAGACTATGATCAGAAGGACAGGATATTCGCCGCTGCTGTTGTATCAGCAGAACTGCACAGTGAAGGATGGCATGGCCTGTCTTCCGAAACACGATGAGAATCAGAGGTCATAAATAAGTGATCAGCGGAAGCAAGCAGCAGAAAACACACAGTCGAACCATCATGCTCGAAGATGGTGTTGAGAGTCTCAGCAGCCTCAGTAACCTCAGCAGCCTTTACACTGTTTTATCTTTAATTACGGCTGGTCAATAATGATACCACGTGAATAAACAAACACTGGTACCCTTACCCTCCAACACTGCAATAGTTGCATTATAAATATACGTAGAATCGTTCTTTTTCTACACACTGCGAAAGTTTAGAATTCAACGTCTTATCAAAGCATTTTAATCTCTTAAATTGGGAGTAAAATGAAACAGATACAGTACAAACGGACAAGTCGATCATCACTCTGGAACTTCGAACTCATCAAGGAAAGTTTTCTTCCCTTCGTTAGAATCCAAGTCGGTCGACGGGATGCATTTGTAAAACTGCATTATTTGGTACCTGTCGTAGTGCGACGGGACACAGTAATCGTCTTCAGAGCATCGACACCTGAAAGACATGAAAATCAAATTCATCTCAGCAATGAAGCACGTTTGCAGAACGGGACACGGAATGCTCGATTTCTTAAAGATCCTTCCCCCCTCACCGTACGCCCCGTCGTAAGAAGCGGACAAAACAAGGCCGTTGAAACTGACAGAGGTCATCTAAGAAAAAAGGCTTCATTCGCTCTAACAACCAGCGGAGTGACAAGGCTTTTCATAACGTTCAAAAATTACTGAATAAAACGACAAGTGGAAGTTTAAATGGAGGTTTCTATTGCGCTTCCATAATGGGCGGTATTCGTAGCGGATTACTCATTCATAAAGCCTGTGATATGGCGTTAATCTCAGTTACGATATCATCAGCCAGGAGCACTATTTTTTGACGGCAATGTCTATAGCTTGAATTGGAGCATTTGGTCTTATGAATACTTTCTACCTAGTGATAATCGCGAATTAATTAATTAATGAACGAATGCACGAATGAACAAGCGAGTGAGCGAATGACTTATCGAATGAACGAACAAAGCGATAAAATAGTAACTGAAGGAGCGAATGAACTTATTGATAAATTAATTAATTAACCAATAAACAATCGAACCAACGAAACAGTGAATTAATTAACTAATTAGCAAATACATTAGTGAACTAACGCATGAACGAGAGAATGAAAGAACAACTAAAGCTGAGGCAATCGCTGTCACCTCACCCTTCGGCACTTGAGGCAATGAAATGCGAGGAACGAAAAAAGCTTGATTGATTGCAGAATTCGAAGTTCACTTTTGACGATTCTGTTAGAAAGGTGCTTCCCGAGATGAAACCAGTTGTTGTACTGCCATTGAAATACTGAATCAAATAAATGGTTACTCTCGAATAGATTTTTTTTCAACGTCGCTTATAACAATGCACTTTTTCCTCGGTTTAGCTATATTAGACCCCTCCCCCAATTCACGTCTAAACAGAATCGCAGTTCGAGCTTAGAGTAAAAAAAACAATACGCAGCAAACAGAACAACCTATCGGAAACAAGCAGAGAACCACGATTAACAATTAGTAAAGACAAACCGAAACTGATATGAAAAAATATGAGTTCTGCTCATTAACGTCAATGGCACTTCTTGAAATATACTGTAGGCATGCATATACCTAACTACAACGAGAGTGTATACGGAACAGTGGTTTGCATTAATTTATCATTTAGTATTCAGAATTTCGTTAATTAATTAATAATCAGCAATTCATTCATTAATTAATATTCAGTATTCATTGCATGACGATTCTGATAGAGGATGCCTCCAGAGATGAAATCATGAGTTGTTGGACTGTCACTGAACGGCTGAATCAGAAGAGAGGTTTGCTCTTGAATGTTTTTCTCCAATGTTTATAACAACGCATTATATCCTGCGTTTTGCGATATAAAAGTACCATTTCACGTTTGAACAGAATAGCAATTCGAACAGAGTGAAGAAACAATACACAGCAAATAGAAGAACCTACCGGAAACCAGCAGAGAACCACGATATGCAGTTAGCAGATCGAAAAACATTACTGCACTGTAGGCATGGACATATCAAGCTAGGACGAGAATCCATACGGAACAGTATTTTTTAAGCTAAGAAATAAGGAAAGCATCTTAATTCAATCCGAAACAGCGCATGAACAGGGGCACTGGTATGCAATTAAGCTTTCATTCGAACCAACCTAAGAAACCATCGAGACTACAAGTCCTGTACTGACAGAACTAGCTGATTTTCTATAGAATAGCGTTCTTTTGCTTGTGTGACATCACTGCTGAAGGATATGATCCGAAATCTTGGAAAATGTGTAGAAACTAAACTTGATACACGATGTGACTGCGAAAAGGATTATTCTGAATTAAAATATACACCTATAACCCTGTTATCATTAAGTGCTAGGGAGAAGAACAGGATGCACAGTTTGACTCCAGTTGCACACCGCTCCGCTGCTTCTTGAAAGCCAATGGTCAATTAGAGCAGGCCATGGATTCGTGACACAAATGCATAATGCGTTTATCATATCAGTGTGGCGCACTGCCAACGACGTGCTCCATAAAGCAACCGATTATGAAGCTTTGAACGTAGTCTGGAGAATATTTTCAATAACTGGATGAAACACATAAAAGTAAGACCTATGGACTTTTAACGTCAGTCATAAGGAACATCAGCCCACAACTCACTACTGTCACCCCTAGTATTTAAGAATTGCGTTGTACGCCACTCCACCGACGTGTGCTTCGTCAACGAGAGGATAAAACGCAAGGATAGAGTTTGCTATGAAAAATCTTTAGCACGTTGAGCATAAAAATATCAAATGCACAGCAAATGTTCATTATCCTTTGAAACATCTGATCTTGGAGGAGTCTGGCTTTTTTTATATACTCATGTGTGTGTTCACATACTTTAATGTTAATGCGGTAGCGTATACGGACTACCACAGTCCCAGGCCCTGAAATATTGTTCGTGATGAACGCAAGGCGGCGCTAGCAAATAAGATGATGGGAGACGCATCTGGCACTGATAGTGCTCAGATTCCTTAGAACCATGGAAGTGAAATGGATCAGAGGCGACTAGAAGCAAGGTGGGGGGGGGGAGTTGGTACAATACTAAGTCACCAGTTATTAGTTATCTTTTGACATAAATAAAGTAGGGATGAAAGCAGAAACCTGATACTTAAATCTGACTGCTCAACGTAAGGAGTACGCAACTGTCAGTAAGGAAAAAGCAAACATAAGCGTTTACTATGTTACAACGTTAACATACAACCGCTTATTGCTTTATTCCACTCTGGTTATGTTATCTGCATGAGTAAGGACATGTATCCACTGTTAAACGAAGCTCTATCACGCGGGCTTTAAAACGGGTATCCTAATTATGTATCAATATACTATTCCAACCATATTTTAAATCGACTTTTATTTTTGTACATGTAGTACAATTTGCTACGGTATCTACGAATATCCTCCATCAGGAAAATCGCACAAGACCGGAAACCATCACGTAAAAAAATAGATTGAGCGGGTCTGCCCACTGAGCAGATGAGGACAAATCAGTGTTGATTTACTACGACCGTCACAGCCACTACAAATCCATTATGCCAAGCATTTCTTGGCAGAGTGACTGGTACGGAGTATTTTCTCTAAGCACCTAGAACAGACTTTACAGTCTGGCATCAACCAAGAAGTGAGGCAGTGATAAAATATGAAAGGAGTGACTCCAGGAAATAATTCGAAAAGAATTTAATCGATCATCGGTTTGCGCCCTCGCGTCCCTCCAACTTCAAAGAAGGTCAGTTTTGAAGCACCGACATTCTCTGGCAGCCGCAAGTGCCTCTCCATCCACACGTATTGCGCACCATGTTTTTAGAAACGCAGAGGGTTACAGAATGGAAACGTCTAAAGTCCTTTTTGACTAACGTAAAGTACGTCGAACGGAAGTGACCGAAGTATGGTAGTCTGCCCCCCCCCCATCCTGCAATTAAAAAAGAATCTATCCCGATATTTTCTTAAATAGTACAAATGGTGAATCTAAGCTCAGCAAGCGTTTTATTCGACGTGTACTTACCAGGACGGAATTACAACGTATTCGATTTGCCATTGAATCGGGGTCTGGCTGAGCATCATAATTTGGCATGGTTCATTCGAATGACACACTTTGGTCTTTTTTGGCGAAGCCCAGTTTTTCAGCTTTAGACCCTGTAACAAAACAGCAACAGCATAAGTTTATTCACCACGAAACAGCCATACACAGAACTGAACAATTTCAAAGTTTTATTATTTCTTCTTTGTATTATCTAATGCCGAAAATTAAAATTCGCTGATGATTACGATTAACAAATGAATCTGCAGCCATAATTCGTACACACCGCAAAATATGCAGTTCATTTAAGTCCAAGTAGATTAATTAAATTCGAAATTTCATGGAATGCCATGAACAGACAACCGACCGGCGAATCACACGGAAACGGTAAAAAACGACCTGCGCCAAATGCTTCGACGGACTCTGCTCTTTCTGGGCTTTTTTTCCGTCGCAGTTCTGATACTGGTACAGGATCTGAACATTAGAAACACTGTCCGACCTGTCTGACAAAAGAAAAGGGGAAAATCGAAATTGATCGACCGATGGATTTCGACTAACGGAAAACAAATACCTCATTCCACATATAATCTTGTTTTTAACTGAAGTGAAGTCAGGGGTTCATTTTGTAACAATTCACTTGTCAGAAACGATGTCATATGCATATTCAATACATGATAAAACTGATCTTTGCCTTGATGGGAGGAAGTTTTTGCTAAGAGGCTAATTTGCCTAAGTTCAATAATAATAAAATTTCTTAAGCAATGCAAGGCATAGGTCATCATCGAAATAACATCGTTATGAAGTGAAGGAGTTACACGCATGATTTGCTAACAGTACCCCAGAAACTGATTTTCAGGTTGCAAAATGTTGTAGCAGTAACGGTACTGTGCGTCTAACGGCCGCTTCATCAAACAACGTCATCTGCTCCTAAAACTCTGGATAACTGCTATTTAAAACGTCGTGTACTGACGATATAAAATAGATCCTCACACGGTAGTCCCTATATAGTAAACTACACCTGATTCTTGTATGAGTGCTCATGCCATTTTGCTCTAAGTTTCGCGCACCACTGACTGCGGGATATGACGTACATTGTAATGACTAAGCAATATCCACTTTCGTGGACGGTTTTCGAGTACTTAGGTAAGTATTTCATAGTCGCACGTTTGATCGAAGGCTTCGAAGATTGTGGTATGCCATCCACTGATTTTGCTTTCTCTAATACGTTCTTGAAATTATTCACTTCCTGCCAGTAAAAGGTAATTAAGGTTCTCTCTTCAGCGGCTACATTCCATTTACGATAACCACAGTAAATATTTAGGTTGTTTAATATTGTCTTAAATACAGTTATATTAAATAACACAACTTACAAAGACGGTAATTGCCGCTCATATTGTGGGCCTACTAAAAAATATTCGATTCCGCCGATTGGAATAGGATATACCCTGCCTATGTACCATCCTAACGGGAATATTTCAAGCAAGCTAAGGCACCGTACTATTACAGCACCTGCAGTGTATGGATGCAAAATCGCGTCATAGACCTATGTTAGCAAGGACTCACGAATCAG